TTCTGAAATTGACTGACATTTCTTCTGGAATTGACGCTTTCTGAAATTGACTTAAATTTCTTCTGGAATTGATGCTTTCTGAAATCGACTGGGCCCAATGAGTTTTGTTGTGAGCTAGTTATAAAGACTGTGTGTGTGTCACTTTTTTCCAACCTCGGCAACTTTCAACTTTGTGGACTTCAACTCCCAGAATTCCCCAGCCAGCTGGGAGTTGGAAGTCCACATAATTGAGAGTTACTGAGGTTGGGAAACAGTGCTTTATGGAACACTGCAAAAGGAAATTCCAACATGCACAGAGACAGAGATCAGCCATCCTACAGGGCTACCTCTTAAATATAAAATTAACCCTTGCAAAAATTCCAGGGATCTCATTTCTGAGATAAAGACCTTGGAAAATATCAACTTCCTGCCAAAAATTAGGACTGTCCTGCGATTTGGGGCATGCTCAAATTCATCGGGGAGACCTGCCAGAGACAGCTGGTGGGGTCTGATTTCTGCTATCCAGAAGGCCCTCGATGGGGGAGGAACACAACCTGCAACCAACGATTAAGTTTGGACCACGATGCCTTCAAGCAGCCGGAGAAGAAGATGGCGGCTGGATAACGGCTAGAGTCTCTTCTTGATCAGTTTTTCCAGTTTGCGGATACGGGAAGACTCCTGCTCGGGCGTGGGGGCCACCAGGGAGACGCAGCTGCCGGTTTCGGCGCCCGAGGGAAGAGCCGGGAGCCTCTGACGGAATAAGTCCAACATGCTACTTTGCTCACTTCGCTTGAGACCCTGTGGAGGCGGAGGGAGGAAGAGGAGGGGGGTCACCATAGGAGGCAAAACTCAGGAGCCACATTTGGCTTCAGAGCTGGAGCTAAGATGGGCTTTGCAGGATCTCCAAGGCTGTGGTTTTGTCAGGATTCCGGCAGTCACCCACCCCAATGAAATCATGAGTCTCGAGCCAAACTTCCAAAACTTCAGGAGGATTTATTGGGAGTTAACATGCCAGCACTGTCTGGGGTATAGCCGACTCTGAGACACATCATTCATTGTCACCCTTGACCCTGGTTTTCCCCTCCCCTCTGGGTGTATCGTAATTCATATTCTCCAATGGGACACCTCCATAGCCCAGAGTAATCAATCATGCTCTCCGGTTAGAATTTTGTGGGGCAGAAATTTCAGTCACCTGGTTACTATCTTTGAAAAACTATTTATGGAATGCACTTTCATTTTCCAAACTGCTGTACTGCTCTTTCAACCCCCTTTCCCCCCTCCCTTTCTGTTGGCAACTCTAAAAAGACCATAGAAATATTTTATGAGTTGACAGGTTTATTGTTTCATTGTGGATTGATGGAGAAGGCCAGACAGAAAGTAAGAGGATGGTAAGGAGGGGTTGTGTTCCTGCAGAACATCTGGAGACATCTGGAGGCTGTGACCCAGAGCCTGGAAAATACATCCTAAAACATCTGGAAGATATGCCCCAGAGTATCTGGAAGACATGCCTCCAGCACAACTGGAAGACACACCCTGAGTATGTGGAAGATGTGCCTCTGGAACACCTAGAAGACATGTCCCAGAACATCTGGGAGACATAGCCCCAGCATGTCTGGAAGACACACTCCGTTACATCTGCAAAACACTCCTCCAGAACATCTGGACAATGCCCCAGAGCATCTGGAAGATGCACCTCAGTCTAGATCATCTAGAAGACATGCCCCAGAACATCTGGGAAACATACCTCCAGTATATCTGGATGACAAACCCCAGAACTTCAAGATAGGTCTCCAGAACACCTGGAAGACACATCTGGAAGACAACCAGACTATCTGGAAGATGTGCCTCCAGAAGATTGCCCATAATATCTGGAAGGTATGTGTCCATAACATCTGGAAGACTCCACCTGGAAGACACAGACCGGAACATCTGGAAGATGTGCCTCCAGAACACAGGGACAACCCCAAAATATCTGGAAGACACAACCTAGAACATCTGGAAGACACACCTCTAGATATACCAGGGAAATTTGCCTGGGAAATTTGACAGCTGTAGTCCTACTTAAGCTACCCAGATATTTAAAGGGATGCCTGGAAGGTTGAATTACAGGGAATCAAAATGTTTGCAAAATGAAAAGCAAGTTTGGACAGGCTGACTTGTCTTCTTTTTACCCAGGTGTGTTGGGGTGGGAACCAAACTGGTCCCGGATAATTTTAAGTCCTTCAACACCCATCGACCCAATTTTTTTTTTTTAACCTGCTCCAGAGCAAGTGGAAGAGCTCTGGTCTTCCCCGCTGCCCACCTGCCCGGCTCACCTTCATCTCCAGAACCTTCTGGAACGTGTCAGTGGCGCAGTCAGAGAGGAGCTTGATGTAGTTGTCCACAAAGACCACCGCGGGCTCGTGGGGCGCCATCACGACCTGCAGGGAAAAGAAGAGCAGCTTATTAGAAGAGCCCATGCCGGCACCGTGGTTAGGATTTAGGATTGCAGGAAAACTCTGCCCACTGCCAGGAGTTCGATCTTGACCGGTTCAAGGTTGACTCAGCCTTCCTTCCTTCTGAGGTCGGTAAAACAAGGACCCAGATTGTTGGGGGCAAGAGGCTGACTCTGTAAACCGCTTAGAGAGGTCTGGAAAGCACTGGAAAGTGGTATATAGGTCTAAGGGCTACTGCGAAGGGAGGGAGGGAGAGAAGGAAGGAAGTCGTGTTGGTAGAGTGGTTATAATACAGTATTGCAGGCTGACTCTGCCCACAGCCAGGAAGTTCAATCCTGACTGGTTCAAGGTTGACTCAGCCTTTCGTTCGTCCAAGGCCGGGAAAATGAAGAGCCAGATTGTTGGGGGGCAAGAGGCTGGCTCTGTAAAACGCTTAGAGAGGGCTACACAGCACTGTGAAGTGGTATATACATCTAAGGGCTACTGTGGAGGGAGGGAGGGAGGGA